GTAGTATAGCCAGATCTGATTAGGCATACACTGATTCCAGATCATCTAGAAGATATCATTCAAAATTTCTGAAGCATTCCGATCGTTAATACTATTAACGGAGTTCTCAATCCAGTGCTCCAATTTGTGATCACGCCCCCTCCAGAAAAGAACCATATGACGCAACTAAACCCAAGACCAGCAACTGAGCATCTTAGCAGTAGAGGCGGGGCAAGTAGCGTATCGCGTCCCTTCAGAAAAAAATGCATAACAAGAACAACTTCTATCACCAAACTATACCCCCAAGCACTGGATAACTAACTAACATTAGCCACGTGAAATAAAGGCCAAGCAAAATATCAAAAACCACACATACCAGGAATAAAGTAAAACGCAATCTTAAACCCAAAACAAGAACCACGCAGAAATTAACTAAAAGCAAAAAAGGAGAGTAAAGGAGAATAGCGAAAAACTAATATAGCAACATATAAAGCAAAAAGAAAAGGAAGCCCATAAAAAACAGCAACCAAACAAAGAGAGAAAATAAGAAAGAAAGGGAATAAGAATAACGTAAAAATAAGGAGAAGCAATAATGCCGAAATAGGCAACCAAATAAGCGTAGACTATCGAAACCGACCCCATCGATAAGTAGGTAACACTAACGATAAGTAGATAACATTCTAACATAGTAGGTTCACAATCTAACGTAAGTAGGGAACAGTCTTATAAGACTGTTCCCTACTACCCAAATTAATCAAAAAAAGATAAAACGCGTATATCATTTTCACTATTAACCGAAAATAAAAACGCGTATAATATTTTTAGTTATATTATCTACATCTTATCATGTGACTATGTAAAGGGAAATTTTATTATATTAACTAATATTATCGGTTTAATAATTGGTGTGATAGTGATTATAATTAATATGTGATTATAAAGAGGGTTTTTATATTTTAAAAAATCGGAACTAAAATATAGTGTGCTTATAAAGAGGGTGTGATTATATAAGGTGTGATTGTAGAGAGGGTCGACTGTATGAATTTTTTTTAGTTAAGATCGTTCCGGACTTAACAACGGTTCCCGTTTCCTAGTTAAAAATATTAATAAAAAAATTTAGATACACTTTATATTTTAATAATAAAAAAAAATATATTTCTAATATCGATTAAAATTTTTTTTTTTTTTTTTTTTGATAATATATATTATTTCTTTTTGTTAGAAAATGAATATAATTAGTTAACTAAAAAATTTTTTAAATTCACATGCTGATCAAAATTTCTTTATAAGGATGCAGCAAAAAAAAAATTATTTTAAGGACGTTTTACTTTTTTCGATGTCATTTGGAGTTGAACAACTGGTATCACTGCGCCTAAATCCAAACTTTAAAATTTTTATATTTTAATGGTGATTTGTGAACTAAAATGTCCAAAGCTTCGCAATAACTTTAAATAAAAATTTGCAAATAAATTTTCCACGAGAACAAAAACAAAAAAGGACAAAAAAAAAAAATTTTTCATATTGTTCACAAAATTCTGCAGATTTTTTTTTTTTATAGATGATTACTTTTTAAAAAAAAAATTTTTTTTTTTTTTGGCACCATAACAGATAGATAGATATAAATCAATCATCTAAATTTTTCGCGAAAAATAAAACTTTTTTTTTTTTTGAACAAAATTTTCAATGGAACCACATAGCTATGTTTGGCTCTTGATAATTGGCGGAATTGTTGCGTTCGCTGCTGGATTTGGCATCGGTGCTAATGATGTTGCAAACAGTTTCTCAAGCTCAGTTGGATCTAAAACTCTTACGCTGAAACAAGCTTGCATTATCGCGATCTTCACCGAATTCTTTGGAGCTTTTTTGTTAGGTGCAAACACATCCGAAACCATTCGTGGAGGAATTATAAAAATTTCATTATTTGAAAATAATCCAGATTTGCTTATGGTATGCTTTTCATTACATTATCTTTTTATATTTGAAAATTATTGATTTATTTTTATTCTTTTAACATAGTTGGCAATGGTTTGCGCCTTAATTGGATCAGCTTTATGGGTTATTTTCGCTTCAATCCGAGGATGGCCGGTTTCTACAACTCATTCAATTGTTGGTGCTATGGTTGGTGTTGGTATCTCTGCTTTTGGTTGGAAAGGTAATTAAAAATAAACTAAAACTTTCGATATTAATCGTCTCAAAATAAATCTAATTAATTTTTGTGCTTCACTAGCCGTTGACTGGAGTTTTAACGGTATCACAAAGATCATAGTCATTTGGTTTATTTCACCCATAATAGCAGGAGTTGTAGTATCAACTTTCTTCTTGACAGCAAAATATTTGATACTTGTACATCAAGACAGTTCTTTCCGACGCGCTTTGATCGCCGTCCCAATTTACATTACCTTCACGATAGCCATCAACATCTTTTACCTCCTCTTTAAAGGTGATCCAAGTTTAAATTTAGAAAACCTTCAGCCTTATGTCGTTGCAATTATTGTTGGGAGCGTCGCGATTATCGTGTCAGTCTTAAGTCATTTCTTTTATGCACAATATTTAAAAAGAAAGATCATTGGTAAAGAAACTGGCCTCAAGTGGTACCATGTTTTCGTTGTTCCATTCATTGGACCTCGTTATGATAATGATACTGAAAGGGGCACCAACGATGATCAAAATGGAAAACAAGAAGGAATTGAAATTGAAGAAAATGTCAATAATTCCCCAAAAAACATCTTTCAGGCAGCTTTTACAGCTATAGGAAACTATATTGCTCGAGGTATAAGCAAAGAAGTAGCAGATTATAAAGCACATGATAATATAGAATTGCATGATGCTGCAGTAAAATACGATCCAAATACGGAACAATTATATTCTTTCCTTCAAATTCTCACCGCTTCACTCGCCTCATTTTCTCATGGTTCAAATGATGTTTCAAACGCGATCGGACCCTTAATTACAATTTATCTAATCTATGATTCTGGTGTTGTTGAACCACCAGGAACTACCTCTGTGCCTATTTGGATATTGGCTTTAGGAGGTATCGCTATTGATGTGGGCCTTGTCCTTTATGGATACCATGTAATGAGATCTCTTGGGAACCAAATCATTTATAATTCTCCATCTCGTGGTTTCTCTATAGAGTTGGGCACTTCATTGACTGTATTAACCGCCTCAAAAATTGGTCTCCCTATTTCAACAACACATTGCGTTACTATTGCGACTGCGGCCATAGGTTTATGCAATGGAAATGCGAAAGCTCTCAATTGGAAATTATTGGCTTCTTGTTTCTTCAGTTGGTAAGTTAAAACTTCATATTGGTTTTAAATTTATGAATAAATGAAATGAATTAATTTTTTTTTTTCATTTGTTTTTTAGGGGGTTAACGGTTCCAGTCTCCGCATTAATTGCTGGTGGTATCTTTGCTTTCACTGCTTATGCGCCATCAGCACCCACATAAAATAAAATAAAAAATTTTTTTTTCCATAATAGATAGATTTTTACAAATATGTACTCTTTACTTAGACAATTTTTTTTTTCTCTGTTTTTATTTTATATAAACCAATAAAATTCTAAAATATATATATATAAAACCTTTTGTTTGACTAAATCTATTTTTGGCCGGTAGATAGTGCTTCAAGGTTTTTCGGATGGTTGCTCTCAAGGATCAAACTGAATTGCGCAAGAACGTGAAGAGGATTTTAGGGGTTATAGCAGGCTTGCTTAAAACATCTAAAAAATAACTTTAATTTTTCTTCATCATATTTATATATTGTTGCCTTAAGAAAAGTTAAACAAATAAGAACAGCAAGATAGGCTACAAAATTAATAGCCTGAAATTCGATTTCCTAAAAGTCGTGAAATGAAGCGACGAAATGTCTAAAAAGGATTTAGTGAAAATTTATAATAAAAAATTTCTTTTTTAACTAAACATACCGATTTTTCCATTTCAGTCGTTTTCTTATCCACGAGTGCTTGGATATAAGCAAGTCTACTTTGATTATCCCCAAGAAGATTGAAAGTTCTTGCTTCTCGTCCGCCCATTTCTTCAACTGCCATTCGTTGTTCGGCATCAAGAATGAGATCAACAGGGAGATTAGGTCTAGGTTTAGGACGCATTTTATTGATGACAAAAGAAATGATAAAATGAAGTTCAAGTAATATTATGTTGAAGCTCAAAGAAAGAGAAGTTTTTGTGAAGTTTGATATAAAGTGAGCAGAGGGAGAAATTTATAGTTGAAAGATTGAAAATCAAGGGTGATTAATATATCAAGGGTGAGGGTATTTATTAATAGTGTTTGTTATAAAAAATATTTTTTTCTGGGACGCATGAAAATATAGATGAAATGTGCATCAATGATTCAATTCATTCACAAAAGTTCAAATTTCACATGAGAGACGTAAATATGATTATACAATTTTTAACTAAAATCAATATAAGATGCTTGCTTAATATCCAAAAAAAGGATTCTTCTGATGCAATTGTCTTTAGTTGTGCATAATGGCTATTTCATGTTAAGAAAATATAAAATCCCTAAATTTATTTCGACTAAATAAATTTTCATACACGTCACGTTGCTTTTTTCTTTCGAAGATACTACTGTTGATGAATCACGATGTATCAGACTCGATATTTGACAAATTCAAAGATCTTAGGAAGGTTTAAAAAATCTGTCCTTTGGATCAAACGATTTTAAAGCAAATTGTTCCGAAGTGAAATCACTTTCAGATTAGAGATCGAATATCCAATCGAAGCTCTTTGGAATCTACACTTCAAGTTCAAAATATATTAATTTTTTTTTTTTTTTTAAAAAAAAAAGGAATTGTTACATTACAAATATACAGTTTATGAGAGAATTTATTGTTATTTGAAATATAGTACATAAATACATAAAGATAAAAACGTTTCAAAGTATTCTAATAAAAAAAAATTATTATATTTATGGCTCAAAATCATAAAAGTCAATAATTTCAAACTTATTAACGACGCCCAACTCTTTATATTTTTCAATTACTTCAACACTACCCTTTTAACCTCCAACTTTTGTTGTGATTGAACAGTTCTGACTGATAAAAATCAAAGAAAATGATTTTTTTGGTACACGATTTGTCCAATTTGTAAAAAAGGACTCTAATTCTTCTTTAGGATTAAGCTTCTTGTCATTTTCATCTCGAAGTGTCGGTTCATTTAACCACTCATTTGTATTTTGACCCACGGACCGATCTGTCCATTCTAATAACCTTTCATTAAACTTTTCATTCAACAAATCGTTTCTTATTCGACCGATCTGCCCAGTCACCAACCCGTCGTTCATTTAACCTTCTATTTAGAACAATCAATCGACCTGTCCATTCTACCGATTGTTCATTCAACCGTTCATTCAACCGTTCATTTCTTCTATTTAGACCGATTGACCGACTTATCCATTCATCATATCGTACAATTTCATTTCGACCCATCGACCTTTCATTTTCGTTTCGATCCTTTAACAACGACAACCATTTGGTTCTTTTTCGAATCCATCATTCCTGATTCAACCATTCATTCAACCGTTAATGTTCATCTTCTTGTTCATTATAAGGCAAGATTGATATTTCCAGTTTATAAAGAGTCGCTTTCCTTACATTCATAATTCATTTTTAATTCAATTTTTTTCAAACAAGAAGCGTTGCGTGGAAGAGAAGATCAAGAAAAAATAGAGATATACAGGGCGTTAGCATAGAAAATTTTTCATGTACATGTACCACGGGCAAAATTTCGTTCTTTGTATTTATTGCTTTATTACTAATAAGACTAGTAATGATTTATTTTAAATTTTTAGAGTTAATCTTTAATTCGGCCCATTTCAAAAAAATACGACTAAATAATATAACTTCAACGTAAAATATTGTTATGATTGCTGAGAGAACCTTTATAAAAATTGGTAATAAAATGGCTAATAAAATACCTAAAATTATACACAAAACAATAACAAAAATATAATTATAATAAAGGTTACCCCTCCATAACCTAATCAGGATCGCAGTAATTTCGACAGAAAACAAAATAGAATTTAAAACAACCAAAAATATCTTTAATATTTCCTCATCATATTTATATATGGTTACTTTAAGAACAGTTAAACAAATAAGGACAGCAAGATAGGCTACGAAAGAAATAGTCTGAAATTCAATCTCCTAAAGTCATGAAATGAAGCGACGAATTCGCTAATAAGGATTTATTGAAAATTTATAATAAAAATTTATCTTTTTTTAACTAAACATACCGATCTTTCCATTTCAGTATTTTTTGTATTGACGAGTGCTTGGATATAAGCAAGTCTACTTTGATTATCCCCAAGACGATTGAAAGTTATTGTATTTCGTCCGCCCATTTGTTCAAATGCCATTTGTTCTTCGGCATCAAGAATGAGACCAGCAGGGAGAGGAGGCATTTTGTTGATGACAAATAAAATGAAGTTCAAGTAATAACTATGGTGAAGCTCAAAGAGAGAGAAGTTTTTGTGAAGTTTGATATAAAGTGGGCAGAGGGAGTAATTTATAGTTGAAAGATTGAAAATCAAGGGTGATTAATATATTAAGGATGATTAATATATCAAGGTATTAAGGATGATTATTATATTTAATATATTAAGGATAAATGATGCATGAAAATATAGATGAAATGTGCATCAATGATCACTACTACTATCTATGATAACAGGTGTCTGTGAATTTCTTGATTAAACTTCAGCAGTTCAAATTTCACTAATTTCACGTGAGAGACGTAAATATGATTTTACAATTTTTAACGAAAATCAATATAAGATGCTTGTTTAATATCCAAAAAAGGATTCTTCTGGTGTAATTGTCATTTGTTATGCATCATGGCTATTTTATGTTAAGAAAATATAAAATCCCTAAAAAAAAAAAATTATTTCGACTATATAAATTTTCAAACACGTCACGTTTGCTTTTTTCTTTCGAAGATACTGCTTGCTATTGATGAATCACGATGTATCAGACTCGATATTTGACAAATTCAAAGATCTTAGGAAGGTTTAAAGAAATCTGTCCTTGGATCAAACGATTTTAAAGCAAAATTGTTCCGAAGCTAATTCTCGTGAAATCACTTTCAATCAGAAGAAATTAGAGATCGAATATCCAATCGGAAGCTCTTTGGAATCTATACTTCAAGTTCAAAAATATATCCCGATTAGCTTAAACAAACAAATTCAAGATAATTTATTTTTTTTAAAAAAAGGAATTGTTACATTACAAATATACAGTATGAGATCTTATTGTTATTTGAAATATAGTATATAAATACATGAAGGTAAGTACGTTTCAAAGTAGTCTAATTTATATTCACTAAATTTAAAAAATAAAAATATTATATTTATGGCTCACACTTCGATGTTCTTCGTAACCGAGAAATTGTCAATCAGGACTTTCTTGACATGGGTAAGGAAGATTTTATGCAAACTGGACTGGAAATGGGACCAGCTATAAGACTTGCAAAAAAGGTCCAGGCCCTCAAAGACAATACGAAGCGCTCGTATAAGAGTTTGAGTGAGGTATTAGCGAAATATGACATCAATAGCGATGTGTTCCACAATTTAAGCCAGGTGAGATTTCGTGTAAAGCTTGGATGATTTATTGTTACAGAGATACTGAAATCATCTATTTCTATTATAGAACCCTCACCCAATTGAGGAAATTCTCCGGAGTTTTAACTCTGCATTCTTCGCGGGATAAAAATATGGGTCCAGTTGTTGACAACAACGAGGTTATGCGCTGTGAATATATTTCAACAATCCTTCAGTCACCTCAGATGACGGTAACTGGTGCTGAAAGTTCCGATCGTGTAGATTATGCAATCAAAAAAAATCATAGATGGTTTATTCGAAGAAATAATTTGCATAATTGAAGGGAAGCAAACCCATCCGGCAAAGGAGTGGCTCAAAATCTTATGCAATGTAAAAATTCATACGATGTAAGTAATTTTAAACATGCTCAAGAAAAAGCGGAAGGCGGACGAGGCATTCGACTATGAGTATGAATATGTATATGGTATTGTCACGACAGGTGGGAAGATCGTTTCGGGATGTTTTTTATTTTTAAGTTTATGCAATACTAACTTGAAACTTTCTTAATCTTCGTGTAAATAGCAACTGACTGGTATTTCATCCTTCACAGCACTGAAGGCATTTTCTGTACAAGCAAAACTGAATATCGAATCTCACTAACGGAAGATGCTCTCAATGATCAAAATGAATTGCGCAAGGACGTGAAGATGATTTTAGGGGTATAGCAGGCTTGTTAAAGGATAGAGTATCAGCTAGTGATTAACCCGCGTCCAAGAAGCGTCGCGTGGAAGAGAAGATCAAGAAAGAATAGAGATACACAGGGCGTTAGCATAGAAAATTTTTCATGTACCACGGGCAAAATTTCGTTTTTTTGTATTTATTGCTTTATTATTAATAAGACCAGTAATGATTTATTTTAAATTTTAAAAATTAATCTTTAATTCGGCCGATTTCAAAAAAACACGACTAAATATTATACCAACTTCAACGCCAATAAAATACCTAAAAATTATACACAAAACAATAAAAAAATATAATTATAATAAAGGTTACCTCCATAACCTAATCAAGATCGCAGCAATTTCGACAGAAAATAAAACAGAAAATAAAACAACTAAAAATAACTTTAATCGCGAAGAATTTTTAAGAAGAAAATAAGGAGTGTTAGAGGAAGAAATAAGTGATATAAAAAAGAAAATAAAATTGATAGGGGAATTTTTGCTTCGTATTTCCTCATCATATTTATATATGTTAACTTTATGAACAGTTAAACAAATAAGCAAGATAGGCTACGAAATATATAGCCTGAAATTCAAATTCCTAAAAGTCGTGAAATGAAGCGACGAAATGGCTATAAAGGATTTAGTGAAAATTTATAATAAAAATTTATCTTTTTTAACTAAACATACCGATTTTTCCATTTCATTCTTTTTAATATTGACGAGTGCTTGGATATAAGCAAGTCTACTTTGATTATCCCCAAGACGATTGAAAGTTATTACATCTCGTCCGCCCATTTCTTCAAATGCCATTAGTTGTTCGGCATCAAGAACGAGATCAGCAGGGAGATTAGGTTTATATTTAGGAGGCATTTTTGTTGATGACAAAAGAATTGATAAAATGAAGTTCAAGTAATAACTATGGTGAAGCTCAAAAGAGAGAAATTTTTGTGAAGTTTGATATAAAATGTGCAGAGGGAGCAATTTATAATTGAAAGATTGGTGATTAATATTTTAAGGGTGATTAGTATACTAATTATGATTAATATATTAAGGTGGTCCAAAAATATCCGAACAATTGATGATTTATTAATAGTGTTTGTTATAATAAAATATTTAAATAAATTTTTTTTTCTGGAAACTATAGATGAAATGTGCATCAATGATTCAACTCATTCACATGAGAGACATAAATATGATTATACAATTTTTAACTAAAACCAATAAAAGATGCTTGATTAATATCCAAAAAAGGATTCTTCTGATACAATTGTCTTTAGTTGTGCATAATGGCTATTTCATGTTAAGAAAATATAAAATCCCTAAAAAAAAAAAAAAAAATTATTTCGACTAAATAAATTTTCAAACACGTCACGTTTGCTTTTTTCTTTCGAAGATACTGCTTGCTGTTGATGAATCACGATGTATCAGACCGATATTTGACAAAATTCAACGATCTTAGGAAGGTTTAAAGAAATCTGTCCTGGTAAAAATTCATAATTAAATAATGGTGTGATACTGATATCGACATTTACATGACCAAACACTTTAACCATTTTTGACTAGAGCTTTCATTTGAAAAAGATGTTCGAATTTAGTTTCTGACATTGAATTCGAAAAGAGGTAAAACTCCCCGAACGATTTTAAAGCAAAGTTGTTCCGAAGCTAATTTCTCGTGAAATCACTTTCAGTCAGAAGAAATTAGAGATCGAATATCCAATCGGAAGCTCTTTGGAATCTACACTTCAAGCACAAACAAACAAATTCAAGATAATTTTTTTTTTAAAAAAAAAAAGGAATTGTTACATTGCAAATATATAGTATAAGAGATTTTATTGTTATTTGAAATATAGTACATAAATACATAAAGATAAGAACGTTTCAAAGTAGTCTAATTTATATTCACTAAATTTAAAAAAAAAAATATATTATATTTATAGCTCAAAATCATAAAAGTCAATAATTTCAAACTTTTTAACGACGCCCAACTCTTTATATTTTTCAATTACTTCAACACTACCCTTTTTAACCTCCAACTTTGTTGTGATTGAACAGTTCTGACTGATAAAAATCAAAGAAAATGATTTTTTTGGTACACGATTTGTCCAATTTGTAAAAAAGGACTCTAATTCTTCTTTAGGATTAAGCTTCTTATCATTTTCATCTCGAAGTGTCGGTTCATTTGACCACTCATTTGTATTTTGACCCACGGACCGATCTGTCCATTCTACCAACCTTTCATTAAACTGTTCATTCAACAAATCGTTTCTTCTTTCTATACTTATCGACCGATCTGCCCAGTCACCAAACCGTCGTTCATTCAACCTTCTATTTAGAACAATCGGTCGACCTGTCCATTCTACCGATCGTTCATTCAACCGTTCATTCAACCGTTCATTTCTTCTATTTAGACCGATTGACCGACTTATCCATTCATCCGATCGTACAATTTCATTTTGACCCATCGACCTTTCATTTTCGTTTCGATTCTTTAACAACGACAACCGTTCGGTTCTTTTTCGAATCCACCATTCCTGATTCAACCATTCATTCAACTGTTCATGTTCATCTTCTTGTTCATAATAAGGCAAGATTTTATTTTTCTGATCCTTATTTTGATATTTCCAGTTTATAAAGAGTCGCTTTCCTTTACATTCATAATTCATTTTTAATTCATGAAATTTTGGGGGGGAATGATTTGCGACAACCTTCAACAAAACGTCTTCAGGTAGATATTCACCACCACACCAAACCCTAATACATTCCAACTGTTGACAAGTGTTAAAGATTATTTTTAACGTTTCTATTTCATTTTTCAAAAATACGGTGAATAAAGATTTCAGGTTTGGACAAAATTTGGCTACAGCCAAATTTATCGAATCATTATTAATACCATCAACGGTAAATTCTTCTAAATTCTTTCCATTCCATTCCAAGAATTTAATCAAATAATCTTGATTGGAACCCCCGTATGAAAATTTCAAAATTTGTAATCGAGGAAGGGAAACATCTTGTAACATTTCAAAATTTTCAAAACCATAATGACGATCAAAAGATAATACGAGTTCTCGTAGGTTGGTGTAATCAGCGATAAATGACAAAGGTATAGGAAGATGACCATAAAGATTTAATTCCATTAAATTTGTGGAATGTTTCGTTAATAAAGGAATCACCATTTCTAAATCGTCAAACCCTTCGAATGTCAAATACTTCAAATTCTTTTGAACGGTAATTAATTGTATCAATCCGTTCGAAATGACATTATTGAAAGTGATGTTCAAAGATTGTATCTCGTGACAAATGTGTGATAACTGATAAAAGAATTCCGAATAAATGTTTGAACTACAGCTTAATTCTGAAAGGTATCTCAAACAGTCGGTCGCCCCAGGGTAAATTGTGAAGGGAATGTATCTTACCAAATGAGGAAAGGCCAATTCCCTTAGGGAATAAATTTGATTCATGCACATTTTAAATATTTCCTGCGTTACCAAGTATTTGTTATAGTTAAGGTTTGGTGATTTATGATGCTTAAGAAGTTTTCCAATATTTTTATCGATTTCATCGATTGAAAGGCTCTTGATAAATTTCGTATAATTGAATAATGGAGGGTTGGAATTCTGGTTTATAATGTTGATTTTATTCTTACTTAGTATGTTTTTTGATCCTTTGGGAAGCGAAGCAATTAAAGTATTATAGTTCCAAATGGTTCTCCATAAAATAGGAATGGAATTTTCACACCAAAGACGATTAACTAGTAAACATGAATGTATGTCCTTATATTCCAAATTTTTAAAGATTTTTTCCATACAGTCAAAGGTAAGTTGAATCATTTTGTTCTTTTTTTTTTATTTTTTTTTTTATTTTTTTTATATTTTTATAAAAAAAGAAAAAATTGAAATTTTTTTAATAAATTTGAAGGGAATTTTTTAACAGAAAAAAAAGTTGTTTTTGTTTTACAATCCACCCAGCCCATATATATATATATAATATTATTATCTACCGCTTTTGTTTCCTGTTTGAGTGATATTTTTAAAATCAAGTTCATGTATTTGGGTGATCATTGAATTCCCACAGCGTTATTTGTCTCGGATTTTCGCTGCGGAATGAGGTGAATTTCATTATAATATTTAATTAAAACGGGCCTTCAATAACCGCGGATCTGCAGTCATTGTTACCGATATCATTGCCTGCTGTTTGCCTCCTGATATTTTTGAATTGTTGGCACTTAATGCGTCTGCATATATCCTAAAACGTTCTTTTGGTGCGACAATGAATGATTTTTAGAGTTGCATTCACAACGATACTGATGATGAAATTTAAACGAAGATTCATACTGTAATTGTCAACGTTATAAAAGCCACTTGATAAAGAATTGAAACGTCTTGAAAAATAAAATCGTATATTAGATATTCCATAGAAATTAAGATTCGATGTTCTTTTTTTAACGAATTAATATAATTAAAAACCTTTATTGATTATAACATATAATGGAAGGAATGTTGGTATATACAATGTACTGTACATCACATCGAACTATATATACTATAAATGCTTTTTACAAAAAAAAAGAAAGAAAGAAAAGAAAATATCAAATAAAACCTTTGAAAAATGAAAAATTTTCCACCGCACTTCTTATCGTTTATTGGTGAAAACCCATTTACAATTAACTATCGTGACGATAACGACGGTATTACTCTTTAATTTATTATCCAACTTGTTATAAACCTTCCTAACAATCCTAGCAACTTTTCCACTTGGACACCAGATATGTAAAACTTGCTTCCATAATTTTGCGTTTGTTATATTCCTCGTAGAACAATTGATTCCTGCAAGTTTTTTCGCTAGGAGTCGATACGCGTCAAGTTTTGTGTAACTTCTCTTATGTGCGTACGCTCTGGTTACTGATACTCCAAGCGTCAAAGCAGAAGTTTGTTTAAAAAGATGACGAAAATTAACCAAATAATCGGTCATTGGCTGATTTTCGAAGAAGTAATCGATTTCCATCTGTAAAAAAAAAAAAACAAAACGTCGTAATTTGATTAAATGCGCCTGAAATGAGTGTTTTACGACAAGGGTAGGGTGCTTACCTCGGTTTTAAACAACTCCACATTTAAGATCCTCGTGATAATTTCACAAGAAAAGATCTCTGACAAGAAACTTCCACCGCCAGCATTTGGTTGTTTTTTCATTTTATAAGATTCCAAGTTCCATTCAATATCATCAAATCCTTTCTTAAAAGCATTTACGTTAAAACTTAAAAATGATCTTTGTTGTCGTTGAACAAGTCCGATTGAAAGGTTAAGTAGATCATTTGAATTCGTATAAATGATAATATCATTAAAATCAATAAAGTAATGATTAATGACCGAACTAATACCAGCTGAGGGAATGGTGCAATTGATCACTTCTTTCAACACATCGTGAATATGTTGATGCTGTTGAGGAGAAGGAAGGAGACGATTTCGAATTGTATTGTTTCGGATAAAGTCGTTTAATAGACTGATAACGTTGTTGTCGCAAAATAAAAAATCGTCCTCCTTCATCCCTCTCAAACCACTCATCTTGCCTGTTCTCAAAGAACGAATCAATTGATTGGTCCATATCGTCGAATACAAGGTCAAGGTAAGAAAAGTAATTATCAAAATTGACAAAATCAAAATGCTGAGACGAATTCATGTCATCAGTAGTAGTAGTTAAAGACCAAGTTTTAATGAATCTGAGGTTGGAATTTGAAGTCATGTTGAACTGATTTGAGAGGAAATGGTGGTAAATTTTTTTTTTTTTCTTTTTAGAAAGATACGAGATTAAATTTAAAATTAGGAATTCGTTATTATATTTGACGGATAAAAAAAAAGACGAGAAACTTTAATTCAGGAAGTGAGACGCCAAATACTGCGGTAGATAAAAAAGTTAATAGAGAGGGAAGACTTGATATTTTTTCACGAAAATAATAATAAGCGATAAAAGGTAACGAGATTAAATTCAAAATTGGGATTATAACGATGAAAACTGTATGATTGAGTAGTTTCAAACGCGAGATTTATATATTTTGAAGTCGGGATATTTATTATAATAAATTTCCAATTGATTTCAAAGTATTTATTTAATTTTAATTTTTTTTTCTTTTAAAGGATTTTTTTTTATTACAAAAGATGGGAAAGTGGATGATTCGGCTCTCAATCAAAATTATTTATACAAGGAAAATAGGTTTATTTTTTTTTTTAATTTCTGCGGTCAATGAAATGATTACATATGACTCACTATATTGTCGGAGTTGTGAATCTTTTTTTGAAGATCCATGCGCATGAAAACGCCGCTCTAACTATAAATTATTTTAATGATTTAATTATATCGATATCGATATATTTGTCATTACAAAAATTTTCGCAAATCAATACCCAAATTTTTCAGTCAAAATGCCTTCACCATCACCAATTAGGGTATCAAGCATCAGAGAATGTCTTTGCACAACGGACTTGAAAACACCAACAAAGCGGTAATATGAGGCGAACGTAAGTTTTTTGTTGCTTCAGAGCAAAAAATTATCGATACAATAAATCAAAACGCAACACGACGAAATCGGCAAGATATATACACCTTATTATAAATATTCGTGTATAGAAATTATAAAACAACTTTTTAATATGAATCAATACAATCAAATCACCGTTAACATCTGGGGAACAAAGAGCGCATCTTGCAACCCTTTTTATTTTTTTATTTTTTATAAAGAAAGAGGGTCAAATCAAGCTCATTATGAATAAATAATGTCAATCTACGAGATGCACAAACAGCTTTTGTTCATGCTATACCAATTGATCCCAGCGTTCATGGTATTCTCCACTCATATGCGGAATTTTCCAAAAGAAAGGGGTAATAATTGCTAGAATTGTGTAATTTAGATAAAAATTGAGCATTTCTTTACAGTAATTAGTGGTATTATCTAATATTTATGATTTACGAGATAAATTTAATAAGTTATGAGTCATAATGCAATGTGCATTATTACAATGTATAGAATATGTCATTCTAATCTGCAATCGTCTATGCGTCTATGCTTGCGTCTATCGGGAAATTTTTTGAGAGAATTTTACCAAATTCGGCAATTCGGGATGATCAGCATATTTTCTTTTATAAATTCTCTGTTTCACAAAAATTTCTTTTTTTTTCAAAAAAAAAAAAAATCTCCATTACAACATGAATTTATTATATACGTTCATATGTTCTTTAATACTTATGTTACATGGATATCGAAAGAAGTCTCTATCAACTTCTGGAGCTTTAGCTGCTTTTTCCGTTGGTTTTGGAACATTACGAAATGATTGGTCTGTTTTTGGCGTTGTGTTGTTAGTATTTTATTTCACCGGTTCAAAACTAACAAAGGTAAATTATTTTAGGACGCAAAAGAGATGTATGTTTAAAATAAATTAAAATAAAAAATAACAAAATTCAAACCATTTATTATTTTATCTAGTATAAAGCGGAAAGAAAGAAACAACTTGAAGAGGAATACCTTGAATGTAATTCATTCACCAATTGCATTTTTTCAAATTTCGCGCGCTAAATTGTTCCTTCTTTTACGTAGGCGGACAAAGAACCGCAAGTCAAGTATATAGCAATGCTTTAATAGGAACAATATTATCCGTTATACACCAATATTATTACGGTGATGGAAATTTATCGGGATCATGCTTATTGAGTGATCAGGGATCAAGATTCATCTTTTACATGTACCTCGGGTAAATAAATCGTACCTTAGACAATTGGAATTTTATTTTTTTTTAAAAAAAAAACAAAAATATATATATATTCAGGATTTCGATTTTTATTTAACAAAAAAAAAAAAAGGATTTACGCAACTTGTAATGGAGATACGGTAAAAATACATTTTTTTTTTCTTTTAACCTTTGATTCATTTTATTAATTTAAAAAAAAAATTCCTTTTTTTTTTTATCAAGTGGGCAAGTGAACTTGGCATTCTTAACGAAGGGTGGCCTATCTTAATAACTACGTTTAAAAAGGTAAGATGATTTTTATAGGAAGGAAAGAACCGTTTTTTTTCGTCTCTCTTTTATCAAACAACCTGTTCTCCCTTTTTGTTACCTTTCTTACCCTTAAGGTGCCACCTGGTACAAATGGAGGGATTTCACCATTAGGATTATTAGCTTCAATATTAGGTGGACTTCTAATCGGAATTTCGGCAACAATATCATTAATCTTAACAAATTCATGTCAAGGACACCCGGAAATAATATTAATTGCTTCGGTCGCTGGATTAATTGGTTCATTAATTGATTCATTATTGGGAGCTACCGTACAAATCACAAAGTATAATGAAAAATTGCATAAAGTTGCTCGTCATGACGATAAGGATTCTAAGGTTGTTAGCGGGTATGACTTATTAAATAATAATCAGGTAAGTGAAGGAGGGGAAGGAATGATTTTTTTTCGGATTACAATTTATTAATGTACTAATAAATATTTATTTTTTTCATCATTTTTCTTTTATTAAAAAAAAAGATTAATATGATATCGTCTTTAATAACGGGTTTATTAACAGCTTTTGTTTGCGAATTAATTTATTAAATCCATCCTCAATTTGTATAAAAGCTGATTTGACGTAAATATAATAAATATAAAAAAAATATACAAATTGGGGGATGTTTTTTTTGTAAACATGAAGGCACTAATCACTGTACTAATCATTGCAAAACACGGGTAAGATCGTCAGTCAGCAGTAAGGCATTGACATTTATGCCCATTTGCAAAATTAACTCCTGAAGAAACAACCAATTCACATGTATATTGTGCCATTCGGGCGATGTTTTTATGCAAATTATTACATAAATTTTTATTATTTATTTATCTATTATTATTGAATTTAATTTAATTTGTATTTATCTTTCCATATAAAATTTATTTGTCTTATGTGAAAAAGAAAAGAGGTGATTTCTAAAAAAAAAAAAAAAAGAAAATTCCAAAAAGAGAAATTTTAAAACGTTTGCTCAGCAAACCCCCATAAACTTAAAAAAAAAGTAAAAAAAAAATAAAGAGTGCTATTATCTAATTTTAAATTAAATAGAAATAGATAGACAAAGCAAAGAAGAAAGGAAGAAAAAAAATAATAAAGTAAAAGAAATAATTAAAACTAAAAATTATGTATAGAATAAAAGTAAAAATTCGTTGTCAACTAAGCTTTATATACAATTAACCCTTCTTTTTTTTTTCAAAATTATTTATCAACATTTTATAACCATGGGAAATTACTCGTAAAAGTTGAAGGATAATTTTGTTGTGTGGAAATTGATGAAACATCTTGAACATTCATAATTGAAGAATTTGTATTCGAGAAGAGTGAAATTGAAGGTAATCTAGGAGTAAAGGTTTTCACACGGTTGTTTTTTAAGGTACAGGTCGAATGTGGCAATTCATGCGAAGCTTGTCGTATGTTATAGTAAGGAGGAGATGGCGGACGAAATTTTTTGGACAAGCGTTGACTTTTCAAATGGCTTAACTGCTGTTGATGTTGTTCGCTATGTATCTTATGATGTTTCTTTAAATCTTGGGGTCTCTTGAAAGCTTTTTTGCATGTCTATTTGGAAAAAAGAAAAATTTGTAAGTTTTTTTTTTTTTTTAGTCAGCATTAATAAATTAAATAATCGAGTTAAAGATACTTACTTCGCACTTGTGTGGTTTTAACGGCACGTGAACTCTTAAATGACTGGTAATATGGTCTCTCTTAGATGTGCTAACGTCACAATCCTCCCAATGACAGTTGAGACAGAGATTTCCAGTAGATTTACGACCTACATGATCTGTTGAGAGATGAGCATAAAGAGTTTCTGCGTCCTCAAAGATACGGCAACAATTTTTCCAAAGGCAAATAAATTCCAAATGATTTCCTTCGGAGATGGGAGGCGAAAGTGGATTGATTGAATTGTAAGACATTTTTTTTTTTTTTGCTTTCAAAGAAATGTGTTTGTGTCAAAAAGTGATGATTGTTTTAAAAAAAAGTTTATTATTTTTTTTTTTTTAAAAAAAAATGAATTTTTTGAACTTTTTTTTTTTTTTCTGATCGTACTGTCTTGTTAAAATCGCTTCCATTTATATAATCCGAAAAAAGCTGATTATTTTTTTGCCAAGAAAAGTTTTGACGCGTATCATAATTTTTTAAACCATAATAAATGTAAATCCATTTTTGCTTAAAGTGGTGGGTGATACAAATTTGATAATTATTGGATGAAATGTGACCAATTAAGGAAATCATCATTAAAAAAAAGGAATATTCAAGAAAGACGTTTGTCACACCTAAAAATTACAGTGTTTCTTGGCAAATTTTAAATTAACGGTGTGTAAAAAAAAAAAAAAAAATTGGACTTGGCAAAGAAAATGATTTTTCTCGTCAGAATTTTCTTTACAGATTAAAAATAATATCTTATCATCCTTAATACGTTCAATAAATTGATATCATTATTTGCCAAGAGGAGAGAAACAATGTTATCAAACGAAACATCATGTCCTTCAATTGTTTAAAAAAGAAAGAACGAACGAAAAAGCCAACACATTTTCATACGCAGTAAATTTTTTTTTTTTTCAAGTCGGGTAATTTCTTCTCGATGAAAACTTTTTAGCCAAGAGCCAGGAAAACTCTAAGCAAAATATCATTTACTTTTATTGCAATGATTTTCTTTTTATAATGTTCTTACTTTTTTATTCGAACACATGAAATAAACAAAAAC